CCCAAAGTAAAAGCAAGATGGAGGATTGCAGCATGGCCATCCCCATAGGGCGGGGGTGCTTTCTTCTCTTTGTTTCTCTCTGATGAGTGCACATGCCCTCTAGAAATCCAAGATTACCTATACACTGTCTACTGTAAACATACTTTAGATTCTACTGTCTATAGTAGATATACTTTAGATTCAAAGACACAAAAAGATTAAAAGTAAATAGATATGCTAACAACAGTCATAAGAAACCTAGCGTGGCTATACTAATATCAGACAAAATAGACTTGAAAATAAAATTTTCAGACATGAAGAATATTTCATAATGATAAAAAGCTAATCCACCAGACTAGAAAAGGAGTAGAGAAAATCAATGAGACCAAAGCTCAGTTCTCACAAATATCAACAAAACCAACAAACCTTTAGTTAGACTGACCGAGAAAAAAAGAAAGCAGATTCAGATTACTAAAATCAGAGGAAAGAAAGGAAAAGAAAAAGGAGGGGACATTATAACTGAACTTCCAGAGATAAAATGGGTTATGCAGGAAACTATGAGCACTTGTTGCCAGTATGTTAGATAAGCTAAATAATGGATAAACTCCTAGAAACACACAAACTACTAAAACCGGCTCAAGCAAACAAAAAATATTAACAGACTTATGACAAGTAAAGAGACTGAATTCAAATATACTAATAATGACAACCCACAAAGAAAATTCCATGTCTAGAAAATTTCTGAATACTTATAATTTCTACCAAACAAAAGAAAAATACCAACTTAAAAAAAAACTCTTTCAAAAAGTAGAAGACGTACTCAACTCATTCCATGAGGGCAATATTACCCTGATATCGACAAGACATTGGCATCATAGAAGAAGAAAACTGAAGACCAATATCTCTTATAAATATAGATGTAAAAAACCTTAGGGAAAAAAAAAAAAGAACTAGAAAATCAAAGGGCTGGCTCCATGGTCTAATGGTTAAGGTAGCAGATCCCAGATGGCCAACCACATGGTTCAAGTTCCAGACCCAGAAGCTTAAGGAACATATCAGGCACATGCATGTGTGTGCCCAAAATCCCAAAAGGAGAGAGACATAAAGAAAATGGAGGGATCATGGTTTGACCATTATTCATGGAAGGTCAGGTTTCTTCTTTTTCTGTCTCTCTCTGGCAATTACATGCAACTTCTTGCAAAAAAAAAAATTTTTTTTTAATTGAAAATTGAATCCAACATATGAAAAGAATTATACATAATGACTAAGTGAGATTTATCCCAGGAATAGGAGGTTTGTTTAACATCTGACAATCAGTTAATGTAAGACACTTTCCACAGGATAAAACAAAAATAAAAACCATGTGATAATTTCAAAAGATGCTGAAAGAGTATTTGACAAAGTCAAGCACACTTTTATGAGAAAAACATTCAACAAGCCAGGAACATAGGGAACTCCAGAACTGATAAAGGACATCTATTAAGAAGAAGAAAAGAAGGCAAACAATCAAAAATCACACAGCTGACATCGTAATTTGGGTGAACGATTGAATGTTTCCCACTAAGATCAGGAAAAAGATAAGGATGTCCATTCTCACTACTTCTGCTTAATGTTGTACTATAGGTTCTAATCACAGCAATTAGGCAAGAAAGAAAATTAAATGGCAGATTAGTAAGACTGAAGTAAAATTATGGCATGATTTTATGGATAGACTCTCATAAGGCATCTACTTTCAAACCATTAGAACTAATAAATGATTTCAGCAAAATCACAAAATGTAAGGTCAAAGTAGACAAATCAATTGTATATCTATACCAGCAATGAATATTCCACAAATGAAATTAAGAAAACAGTGGCCATTTATAATGTCATCAAAAATAATAAAATACTGGGACCAGCAGACAGCATAGCGGTTACATTGCTAGACTCCCACATGATCAACCACAGTTCAAGTCTCAGGCCTAGAAGTTTGGAACTCACACTGGGCATGAGTGTGTGTGTGTGTGTGTGTGTGTGTGTGTGCTCAAAATCCCAAGAGGAAAATGGAGAAGGGATTGCAGTGTGGCCATCCCGCCTAGGGAGTGATAACAATAAAAACTCATTTGAGGGAACCAGCAGTTAGCGTAATGGCTATGTCACTGGACTCCCTACGACTATGTCGTAGTCGACCGCGGTTCGTGTCCCGAACCCGGTGGCTTAAAACTCACGCCGGGCGCGTGTGCGTGCGTGCCCAAGATCCCGAGAGGAGAATGGAGGAGGAGGGATTGCGGAGTGACCATCCCCCCTGGGGGGTGATTTCTCGCTTTCTGTCTCTATGTCTCTCTCTGTCTGTCTGGCGAGCGCACGCGCCCTACAGTGAAAATCTCTCAAAAAAAAAAAAAAACTCATTTGACAATTTGGAAAAAAGAAGTACTAATATATGCTAGGACATGAATGAACCTTGAAAACATTATGTGAGGTAAAAGAAGCTAGTCATGGGACCAGCAAATGGCATAATGGTTATGTCCCTGGTCTCCCAGATGGCCAACCATGGTTCCAGTCCCAGACCTGACAGCTTGAAACTAACATTGGGCACGTGTGCATTTGTGCCCAAGATCCCGAGAGGAGAATGTAGAAAGGATTGCGGCATGGCCATCTCCCCACTAGGGGTGACGTCTTCCTTTCTGTCTCTGTCTCTCCAGTGAGTCCATGTACCCCATAGGAAAAATCTCGCTCTCTAAAAAAAGAAAAGAAGCTAGTCACAAAAAGACCACTTATTTTAGTAAAGGTCCAGAATAGGCTGATCTATAGAGATAGAAAGTACATTAGTGATTGTTAAAGAGAAAGATGGTGAGAGAAATCAAGAGTAACTGCTAGGATAATGGTTACATTGTTGAACTCCAACATAGTCAACCACAATTCGAGTCCTGGACCTGACAACTTAAAAGTCACACTGGGAGTGTGTATGCACATGTGCCCAAGGTCCCAAGAGGAAAATGGAGGAGAAGGGTTGGCAACATGGCCATCCTTCCTGGGGGATGATTCCTCACTTTCTGTCTCTGTCTCTCTCTTTCTGGTGAGTACATGTACCCTATGGCAAAAATCTCTCAAAAAAAAAAAAAAGAAAGAAAGAAAAGAGTAACTGCTAAGGGACATGGAGTATCCTTTAGGAAGGATAAAAATAGCCTAAAATATTATATTGTAGTGATAACTGCCCAACCCTGTGACTGTGCGTGTGTGTGTGTGTGTGTATGTGTGTGTGTGTATACATATATATATATGTGTGTGTGTGTGTGTGTGTGTGTGTGTATACTTTTTTTTTAGAGATGGAGATTTTGCTATAGGGTGAGTGCCCTCACCAGAGAGACAGAGGGAGAGAGAGGTGGCCATGCTGCAATCCATTCTCCTCTTGGAATTTTGAGCACACACACACACACACACACACACACACATGCCTGGCATGAGTTTTAAGCTTTCAGGTCTGGGACTCAAACCACAGTTGACTGCATGTTAGTCCAATGATGTAACCACTATGAAGCCTCCTAGTTCCCCCTGTGAGTATGTTAAAAGAAAGGAAGGAAGGAAGGAAGGAAGGAAGGAAGGAAGGAAGGAAGGAAAGAAAAAAAAGGAAGGAGGGAGGGAGGGAGGAAGGAAGGAAGGGGGAGAGAGAGAGAAAGAAGGAATGAAGGAAAGAAAGAAAGAGAAAAGAGAAGAGAAGAGGAGGGAAGGGAAGGGAAGGGAAGGGAAGGGAAGGGACAGAAAAGAAAAGAAAAGAAAAGAAAAGAAAAGAAAAGAAAAGAAAAGAAAAGAAAAGAAAAGAAAAGAAAAGAAAAGAAAAGAAAAGAAAAGAAAAGAAAAGAAAAGAAAAGAAAAGAAAAGAAAAGAAAAGAAAAGAAAAGAAAAGAAAAGAAAAGAAAAGAAAAGAAAAGAAAAGAAAAGAAAAGAAAAGAAAAGAAAAGAAAAGAAAAGAAAAGAAGGGCCAGCAGGTGTTATAGTGGTTACATTGCTGGACTCTGACATGGCTGACTCTGGTTCAAGTCCTGGACCTGATGGCTTGAAACTCACTCCAGGCACCTGTGCTTGCATGCCCAAAATCCCAGGAGGAGAATGGAGAAGAAGGCATTGCAGCATGTCCATTCCTCCTGGCTGGTAATTTCTCACTTTCCCTCTCACTGTCTCCCTCCAGTGAACATACATGCCCTATGGCAAAAACCTTTAAAAAAAATCAAATTGTGTACTTTAAATCAGTAATTGTATGGTATGTGAATTATATTTCAGTAAAGCTATATTTAAAAATGAATGAATTAGGGGACCAGCAATTAGCGTAATGGCTATGTCGCTGGACTCCCACGTAGTCGACCGCAGTTCAACTCCCAGACCCAGTAGCTCAAACTCATGCTGGGTGCGTGTGTGTGCATACCCAAGATCCCGAAAGGAGAATGGAGGAGAAGGGATTGTGGCGTGGCCATCCCCCCTGGGGGGGGGGGGGGTTTCTCGCTTTTTGTCTTTCTGTCTCTCTCTCTGTCTGTCTGGTGAGCTCACACGCTCTATAGCGAAAAAAAAAAAATGAATGAATTAGATCTATATGTTATATCCAGATAAATCTCAAAACCATGTAGAGGGAAGAAAAGCAAGTTGAAAAAGGAGACATACAGTATACCATCATTTATGTGAAAATTTGAAACTAAAAGCAATGTATATATTGTTTAGGAAAAGATACATTCTTGGTAAGATATAAAAACGTGGATGGAAAGGATATATTCCAACCACAATATTTTCTTTCTCCTCTCCTATAAATAGTCTTTTAAAATTTTTATGGCTTATCCTAACATCATTTATGTTCAATATACTAGGAGATATATATATTTATATTCGTATCCCCTTCATTTTTTAGATAAAAGGTAAAATGCCATCTATACTTTTCCCTACTTTTTTTTTTGTAAACTTAAAAAAACCATAGTCTAGAGATCACTCCAAAGAAGTTTATAGAGCTGTTTCAATGAGTCTCTTTTATTAACCTGGTTGGGGTTTATGTCTAAAAGGAGGAGGGCCGGAGATGGATGACTATATGGAGACGCTGAAGGATGAGGAGGATGCCTTGTGGGAGAATGTGGAGTGCAACCGACACATGCTGAGCCGTTACATCAACCCAGCCAAGCTCACCCCCTACCTGCGCCAGTGTAAGGTCATTGATGAGCAAGATGAAGATGAAGTGCTTAATGCTCCCATGCTGCCATCCAAGATCAACCGGGCAGGTAACCTTAGCAGGGCTTTGGGAGAAAGGGTGGGCTACCACTCTTGGCAGCTTCAGGACAAAACCTTCAGTTAGCTGTACCAAAGTGAGATTCTTCTAGATAAGGGATTTTTATGTTATTGTTAAAATTATTTATTTATTTAATTTCATGTGTTGTTATTATTATTTTTAATTTGACTGGAGAGAGAGAGAAAGGGGAAAGTGAGAAAGCAAGTCACGGGTCTAGAACTCAAACCAGGTCAGCCATATGGAAATTCAGCACCGTAAGCACCATGCCACCTGCTGGCTCCAATAAGGGATTGCTTGATTGATCAATTAGAGATTTTTACTATAGGGAGCATGCAATCCCTTCTCACAATCCCTTCTCCAATCTCCTCTTGGAATCTTGGGCACACGTGCACATGCACCCAGCATGAGTTTTAAGCACTAGGTCCAGGACTCCAAATGCGATCAACTACGTGGGAGTCCAGCAATGTAACCATTACACTATCTACTGGTCTCTAATAAAGGATTTTTAAACTGGGATCCATAGACCAGTGCCCACTCCATTGCTCCTGTCAAGCTATCTGTTTATAGAATTCAGAGGATCCGGGACCAGCAGTTAGCATAATGGCTATGTCGCTGGACTCCCATGTAGTCGAGCACGGTTTGTGTCCCGGACCCGGTGGCTTAAAACTCACGGCCAACGCATTTGCGTGCGTGCCCAAGATCCCGAGAGGAGAATGGAGTAGAAGGGACTGCGGCATGGCCATCCTCCCATGGGGGGTGATTTCTCACTTTCTATCTCTCTGTCTCTGTCTGGTGAGCGCACGCGCCCTATAGCAAAAAAAAAAAAAAAAAAAAAAGAATTCAGAGGATCCATCAGCTTGGGAATTGAGGGGTTACATCTTTATTTTGTCAGCCTAAAGAAAGTTAGTATTGCCTTCAAATATAAATATTGGTAGGTTACAAATCACTACTGTGATTTGTAATACCTGCAACTTTGTCAACAGTAAAAATTACAGATATCTTAATATCACTTTACAGCTGTTACAGACCTCATAAAATACTATTTATACTCATCTATCCTTTGAAATTACAGTATTAATTTAGAATTGCCAAGAGATCTTGTTATTTAATACATTAATAAAGAAATGGATTTATTACTGAATCACAAATCTACTTAATATTTGATAAAGGTATTTTATTATGCATAATTGTTTTCCTTTGTAATCTGATGTATTTAATCTGTTTAAAAATATTATGCTGAGCCACGCTGTGGTATGGTGGTTAAGGAGACTGGATCATACATGGCTGACGGTGCAGTTCGAGTGCTAGACTCAGCAGCTTGAGAAACACACCAGGTGCATGTGCACGTGTGCCCAAAATCCCTAGAGGAGAATGGAAGAGAAGGGGTTATGGCATGGCCGTTCCCCGAGAGGGTGCTTTCTCATTTTCTCTGTCTCTCTCACTCTCTTTCTCGCATGCATAAATGCACACATCCTGCAGCAAATTTAAAAAAAAAAAAATGCCGAGGAGTCCATAGTCTTTTCTAAACTGGTTGGAGAGCTATGGCACCATATTATATTATGTTAATGTAGAAAGTGTGGTTTGTAAAGCTTGTTTTAGTTTTATATGTGTACATGTCTATACATGTATATGCTTGCTTACATATACTTTCTGTGTAGACACTAGGACAACATAAAATGTATTTTTCTGTGCCTCACATTTTAAAAGTTTTCTTCCTGTGGATCACAGTTTAAAAGCATGCCTGGTGATAAGTAACTCATGCTAGGACTCTCTTTTGCATCCAGGACAGACCTCACTAATTAATCACAGCACGCTTTTCCACTGCGCTTGGATTTAACTTTGGCATCCTCAACACATTGCTCCAGGCAGCTTCACCAAACAATCAGCATTGACATAAGAGACTTATTTATTTAGTCTGTCCTAGGAAAAAGGTAGAACTCTAGGACCTCAAGGGAAGAATACCTAAAAATAAAATGTTTAAGGAAGGGCCAAGAATGTAAACAATAATTAGAATCCGTGTAGAAAGTGGAAACTGCTGGGCAAATTACACTTAGGCTAAAGATCTTTCCTGACTATGTAATAATCCCAAAGAAGAACTTAGACCTAGGCCTGCTTACTATGACTTTTCCTGGCTTCCCACTCAAATATTTATCATCCTGTTCTGAATCCCAGAGAGCCATATATTATTCCATAACTGTTACTGCATTTTCAAACCCCTACAATCACAGAAAGTCTGAGCCTGTATGGTTCATTTTAGCCATGGTCAATTGGGGACTTTTTGAAACTGTTGGTTTCCTGTGGCTGCAATTCCATTTATTCTGGTTCTACCAATTTATTAGAGAAAGGAAATGAACACTCACCGAATCCCTGCTGAGGGCCTGGCACTTCGATTTACATTATCTGGACTCCAAGATACAATCAAGAGCGATAGACTGTAGTGAGACTGTCCTCTACGAGTTTATTGAGGAATATAAGAACAGACATGGAGACTTGCACCCAATCAGACATGTATTTTTCTTCTCATGGAGTGATTTGGCCTTTCCCCTAGGCCGATTATTGGACATTCTACACACCAAGGGGCAAAGGGGTTATGTGGTTTTCTTGGAAAGCCTGGAATTTTACTACCCAGAACTATACAAACTGGTGACTGGAAAGGAACCCACCCGGAGATTCTCTACAATTGTGGGTAAGTGGCTTTGCCATCAGGAACATTTGGACTCTACTGGAAGGTATGTGTATGTGTGCATATCCAGGGGTAGGACGGTTCTAAAGATGTGAGTCTGTGATTTGTAGGCCTTGTGGACATCTTTGCCCAATGATGAAAGGTAAATGACAGGAAGGACAAACTGAGACAGAAGCCAAGAGAACTGGGTATTTGTGGAATGTGTCCCATGAATGGTGCTGGGTGGACAGAAGTTCATTCTACCCTCTGTAGCTCATGCTTGCCTTATTTCTTGACAGTGTTCAATAGCCAGAGCCCATAGCCTTCTTGTCTTCTTAATTTTCTTTCCTAAGTATTCTTGAATCAGCCTTGTCCCTATCTCCACCATTATCCTGGGTCCAAACCGCTAAAACCCTATCAACTCCTTACATCCATTTCTGATCTGCTCCCATGCTTTCTCCATTCTCCTTATGTTAACACTATTCTGCTTGACCCTCTTCAGTGGCTTTTCCATTGCTTCTATCCAAGGCAGGTCTTTAATGTAGCCCACAAGAGCCCTGCAGGTACAGTCTCTACCTCTCACTCATTCTGTGGGTTCCAATCACTTTGACCTTCCTTCAGTTCCTGAAACGCATCAGGTTCCTCCCTACTCCTATGACCTTGGCAATTACACCATCACAAGCATGCTTCTTTCCTGAGGAAATTAACATTTTAGCTCAACCATCAGGAGCTTTCTCTAACCCTTCTGTTCACAAGGCTAGACCTGGTCCTTCACTACACATTCTCGTGGCCCTCCTGTACTTTTACTCTGTGAAAGCCTCATAGTCCGAAGCTATGATCATTTTATTTTTTAATGTCTAGCTCTCTCTTACTAAAGCAGAAGCTCTACTGGGAACTAGGCTATTTTGCTCACCTTAAACCCCCAGTGCCTAATGAATAGTAATAGTTCAGTAAAATGTTGATGAGCAAAAAAATGACACCTGCCCCACATCTGGAACCTCCACTTCCCTCCTTAGTCCTCAGGCCTGACTGAGTGCCCCTTCTCCACAGTGGAGGAGGGCCACGAGGGCCTCACGCACTTCCTGATGAACGAGGTCATCAAACTGCAGCAGCAAATGAAGGCCAAGGACCTGCAGCGGTGCGAGCTGCTGGCCAAGTCACGGCAGCTGGAGGGGGGG